GACGGAAGACAAATCGTACTAGACGAGTAACGGACTCTAAGTATATAAGTATATAACTATTACCAAAATTTCATTGTTTCAATATTTTACAACTATGGTAGAATTAATGCTTTCAAACGGCGGTGATAAGTAATATCTCGCTTAATGATAACTGATTGATTTATTTTAGTGATAGCCTAAAGTTCTTCATACCTCATCCTCAATGTGTTAAAATTTTTACTATTTGTAGCTTTAAAATTAAACAAAGACTTAAAATGGATTAAAGTCGAACAAAAATCCTCGGATTACGGTCTATGATATGGCACACCTGACACACACTGCGCTCACCATTATGCTCAAAAGATAAAAATTATATTTTCTATTATACAGTAAATTACTATACAGTAAATTTCTCTTTTCTGAGTCAAATTTTACATAGCTATACATAGTAATTAGTAACTTTTAGTTAATCAATGTTGCATTACATCTGTAAAGCTAATTAAACATATAGGTAATAGAGGAAATGTTGAAATGTTAAATCATTGGAATAAATTAAGATTAAAAAGTACAGAATCATATAATCATAATATGCACTTATATGAGTCATAAAATATTAATATTTACAGAATTTAAGATTTAAAATAATTACCAAAATGAATTAAACAGATTTTTGCTGTTGAACTCATTAAGTATGACTTAAAACATATTGTGTATACATATATATATATATATAAGTAACTTTTGTTTAAATTATTATAACATCATAATAATACGTTATAAAATTGATGCACCAATTTAATATTTACTATTTAATAATATCTATAAGGTAATATTGTACTAAGATAAATCTTCTGGAGACGTTTTATAAAAACAGGTTTTATTGTATTCTATGAACGAGTATATACAGAAAGACCTACAAATAAATAAGCTGAAAATCTATCCTACCAAAAATGTTAGAAGGATGTATGCAAACGATTTAATTAACATATATATCTCTTATCAGTTGGTTGACTATTATGTTAATGATGAGTTTTTGTTAGTAATATTTGACAGTCAATATTATAGGTTCAAACACTGAAATGTAAAATATGAATATATACACTGTGCCCTGAACTATTGAAATTAGTTTTGCTAAAATTCAATATATTATAATCTACGATGTTTTAACACTTTATTTTTATGATAGTTGTTTTAAAAATATTTTTTTTAAGTATATGAAAAAATAAAAAAACAATATTTGATCACAAATACAAACTTTATAATAAATTCGTAACGTTTAAAATATAAAATACATGTAATATATAATTTATATATTTATATAAATACAATTAAATTAACTGCGAGTTTACTTGAGTGTAAGTGTGTGTATGTGTATGTTTAACTTCACGTTTAGGAACAGAACATTTAATTGAATTATTAACATTGAGAGAGATATTTTATGATTGATAATTTGATATAATTAACACTTTGAGCATTTAAAATAAAATAAAAACTCCCAAATTTATTTTCTAGTTATTTAAAAAAAAATTATAATACATAATTAATTAAGATCCGAAATATTTATCATGATAAATTTATCTATTGTTTTTTTTTTTTTTTTTTTTTTTTTGTTATAATAATAATTAAATTCGTAAAATGAAAATGTAGGTAATACAATAATATTCCATGACACGTTCTTTTACAGTAACTTTCTTTATCAATTAAGGATATTTGATTGTGATTCATAAAATATAAATCATTGTGATTTTAAAATGTTTATCATTACAAATGTTATAATTTTCTAATATTTTTATAAATTGTATAATTAATTTAATTATAATTTATAATTGATTTATATTATTTCTGAAGCTCTCAAGCCCTACTCTCTTTCCTAAAAAAGGAAAAAAAGAATAATAATAATAAAATAAAATTATGCCATCTAACTTAACTTTGTAAATATAATATATTATCTTGATATTTGTTAATTTATATTTTTTTTCCCACCACCACCCACGAATGTTTGAACATATAAATACCCATTAATCGTGTGCAATTATTTGATTGTTATTATGTTTTTATATGAGATTAGATAAAAGAAATTAATTCAATATACCTACCTAATCAAGAAAATAGTAAAAAAAAATAAAATAACATACACTATCCTCACTTCTAATATAAATAGATGCTGATTCCCCCACATCCTAAGCTATTAATCGTTTTTTAATTAATTAACAATGATCTATTCTTAAATTAAAATTAAACACAATATAACACTACACAACGGCAAGATACATTTAAAACCTTCTATACAGGAGAAAAGGGTATTTATTTTTTTTAATTTACAATAATAAATAATATTACATAATAATACATCGATATCAAGTTTAAGAGTCTAATTATTTAAAAAAAAAAAAATAATAAAAAAACCATTTCTTTTACTTCAACGGAATTACCATTATTATGTTAACAAGACTTTTCAATATAAGTCATAATAACGGTTGAAAAACATAATTTAAAAAATACATAAATAATAATAAATAGTCTGTGTATCTATATTGTTATTATCAATAATTTATCATATTAGGTATGTATTTATACATAGAAAACAATACATTGAAAACTTTTATGTTTATAATAATTTAAACTGTAAACAAACTTTTATGTGGCTACTATTGTGAACAAAAAGTATAATGTAGCTGAAACTTAATGTAATACGTGTTTATAATATAATTACAATTTAGAATAATGTAAAGGTGTGATTTTAATTTATAGTGAGTATAATATATGAATATATTTATTTATTTAATAAATTACTAGTAATATTATTTAAAAAGAAAACACAACTTAAAATATATTGATACAAAAACAAATATTTTTTTTTAATACTATTTAAACTACACTAATTATTTTTGTTAACTGATTTATGTTAAAACGATCATAAGATAAAAATAAGATTAAAATTTTGATAAAATAGAGTGAAATGTGTATTTATGTTTACACTACGCATAAAATAAATAAAATGATGCCGTAGTAATAAGTAGCTAATAAGCTAATAACTAACATTATAGAAGTTTTCATGCGAATTCAAATATGTATTAATATTCATTTCTCAAGATTACGACTTATAAAAATTATAATAATATCTATATATAAAAACAATAAAACAAAAATGTAGCTTAAACACGGTATATGCATAGAAATTGTAATACAAAAAGTAATGTTTATGAAAACATTTTAATATGACCAAAACTGTGAAAAAAAAGGGATGTAAAAGAAAAAATAATACATAAATATACTACTAAAAGAATATTGGATTATTTAAAATAATTATTGTCAATTGAAAAATTGATGTAATGAGTAAATGTTTAATGAACTATAAACTGGTTCTTTAAATTTTAAAATATCTTTATTAAGATACCTAGCTATTTAATCCATGACGGTAACAAAGAAAATTTAATTAATATATTTAAAGAATGTTTAGATACCGAGATATTTTAATTGATGTACACACAAAATAAGTTGATAATCTAATTTAGATAATCGTAAACTCGTAATTTAGGTCAATAAAGTTATATATAGTAAATATGGTTATATTATACACTATACGAGTTTGCTGAACATGGCCATTTCACGTACTCGAGTAAAATACTTCTACTACAGGCTAAATAGTTACAAGGATTACAACTCAATATGGGAAAATTATGCACGAAGTATATTGTTATAATTTATAATAGTATGACATGATTACACTTTGTGATGCAGATGCAGAAAAAAAAATTGTTCGTTGTATACATACATAGTTATTTTCTCTAAACCGTCCAGCGTCACATTTTATTGGGGTGAAACGAATAAATAATGTCTCTGACAATCATGATGTATAAATTTCATAAATATATGTAAAAAAGTCACATTAATCATTTGTAAATTGTTTAATTGTAAAAAATCAATAATTCTTTCATTAGTCGTTTTAACAAAAAAAATCATACAGTACTTATCAGGAAAAATACATAATAATATATTGTAGTTTTTTTCATAATTATATTCTTTACTTATATTGTGGTTATAATGTAGTATGTCATGTTGTTTTTAGTTTTTATAAAATCTAATAATTTTACACTAAACGTATTGCGCTATTATTGGAATTTTAATTTTATTTCGTATGCAGGTATTCGTACACTAACTGACGACCACATAAGAATTGTAATAATATTATTATTAAGGGCTTATATTTTTAAGCAAGATAAACATAAAAAAAAAAATGAATTACATTTTCTAAAAAAAAAAAGCGAGAGTGAGTTTTTCACGGCTTCTATGTGGTTTTTCTCTTCCTATAATAATATGCTGCGTACGTTGTGTTTTTTTTCATATTACACCCAAATTTTACATAATTTAAAAACAAAATGGTCCCATCAGTTGAAAAACACACTTTACCGCCAAACCCTAACGCTACTTTTTATAAATAAAGAACTGCTTTTGGCTTTAGGTGTTTTTTCGTAAAAAAAAAAAAAAATCACACTGAATCACTCACGTTTTAAATGTTTTAAAAGTGAACTGTAATCAATTTTTATACTATTATGTGCGTTCGATAAGTCTGACAATTATTACGATTATCGAAATCTGAGATATATTTTAGACCTGTCAAAAAGATCATAAATTATACTATGTCGTGTATACATAGTATAATATAAAAATAGGCAGTTATTATGAGCCCATAAATATGATAGCGATTTTTTTTTTCTTCGCATTTAAAATATTAATACTATAATGTCTGCGAAAACATCGAAATTATGATGTCGGTTTTCACCGTCCGTACACATTATTTTTATCACGAATTCACAACTCTGTGCACCTCGCATATGATTCGCGTAAAAACACACAATATATATGACACGGATTATGAAAATCGCAAAAAATATCGCACTGTTCGTGTACCGAAAACCAAACCTATATACATTTTTATCATTTTTTTTTTCAATAAATTATTATATTTTAATGGCTTTTTTAATAATAATTGGACGGTAGCGCAAAAGAAAAGTGCTCACTTGTCGTGCATGTTAAACAAGTCGGCGCCGCCGACGCGCAATACGTTTTTCACGGCCCTGGCGCCCTTGTAGACGGCCATGACGGCAAAGTGGCCGCCCACCAACCCGTTCGGTTCCGGCCACACACGCATGGCCAGCGCCTTGACCACCACCTCGGAGGCGCGGGCCTGGGCCTGCAGGTCTCTGGCCGTGTGCAGGCACGCGGCCCGTACGGCCGGTAGCGGCGGCCGGCAGCAGGCCAACATCGCGACCGCGGTCAGCGCGGCGGTACGCATGGTCGACGTTCGTCGTGGGCCGGCACGCGCCTCCGTCGGTCCGTTCCTATTGCCACGCTCGGCGATCGTTCATAAACAACGGACGACGCGCGGGAGGAGACGCGTCGTCAGTTCGTGTCGAGTGGCGGCGAGACGGTTTCGGATTTATTTTATTCGCCGCGCGAAAACGACGACAACACTCGGCCGACGGAATTTCCGGGGATTTATCGATCGACAGAAGAGACCGGAAACGATAGGTGCCGCCGAATCGGAGAGACGGTCGGATGTCCCGTTTGCGGCGCGCGAAATCCGTTCGGTTCCGGTGCGGAGGAAGCCTCGGTCGGCGAACACGTGTGGTCGGCACGTCGGGCGCGAAACGACTGTTGAGCTCGTGCCGCGCGCTGTGTCCCATTCAAAGGGGCAGAGCGGTGCGTAGATACGTATACAGCCCGTCGCGCCGCCGCTGCGGCGAATCGCTCTGCGGAAAGAGAAAAGGCGTAAATGCCATCTGGCGACCGGCACGGGAAGTGGATCGGTGACCTTGCCGGTCCTCGCGACAATGTTGATTAATATAATGATAATTATTATTATTTTCGATCGAGAATTCGGGTACGTTTTGCGACGTGAAGATGTGTACAGAGTTGTTTTAATAGGCGCACAACGGATATAACGAAAATTATGGTATACGTATATCTGTGCTGAAAAGAATGTATGCACACGAATAGTAGTCGTTACACACGACATGAATATTATACAACTTACTGTTATCGTTCGAAACAACTATAGTTGTTTAATGGTTTTGATTGTTCTCAATAAAAGAATTAATAGCACCTAAATGGTTATATTTTATTTTCATTTCATAGATATTTTACGATATTATAATATGAGTTAGATAAACAAAATAGGTCATTACACCACCCCTTACAACTGTAAGTATAAATACATTTTGTATATTTTCATAACTAATAATCTGTTAATGTGTAATAAAATAAATGTCCAAAAAAAAGTTATAGTTTTATAATATTATATTATAATCTGAAAAATTAAGGGCGTACTAAGACCTTATTTTTTAGGGAAGTTAATAAGAAAAATGTTTGGTATATTTCAAAACCGCACACTTACTATTCGTAACTACGCGTTTTAGATCATTCAATACTGCAAAAAAAAACATTTTGTTATTAAAAAGGGGCATTTGGAAGATCTATAATTCAAAACTGCACACATTTGATTGACAGTTTAAAATTAATTATTTATATGAGGTTATTAAATAATTGTCATGACAGTAATTCAATACTTGAGATATCTTATGTTTTTAATATTAATTACAAATAACCATATTTAAAAAAAACTTATTTTTAAATAAAATAAAATAAAGTAGCTATGTATTATATTAGTCATGGTAGATAACACTTAGACTGAAATTGAAATAAATGTACATCGTGGTTTTTTAACTTTTAATACATTTTTATTGATTTCGTTACTTATGAATTTATAATTTTAATTAAATATAATAATATTATTAACTGGTACGCGATTCTAAACGATAATGTGTGATTTCAGACAAATGTGTGCGTTTTCGATACAATATAGCAGTGTGTACGATATTTGATAGTTTGATTTGGGGAAAACTGTATGGAGTGTGTGAATAAAACTATGTGCATTTGAACGTTGAACTTTTTTTGAAAGTGTGCGGTTATAATGGCCTCCTTCATTTTTAAATCAATAGATTAGACGACTTGAACTAAATTAAATGTTTTATAAATTTATGCTTTACAAAAGTTTTTATAAAATAAGAAATAAGTATTTATTTGCACGCAGTTTCAAGGTGATATGTGGAAACGACAATTATTTTTTGGAAATACTCAAATACACATAGGTACTCACAATCGCTTATTTTTTTCATAAAAGTATTAAAATTATATAAAATAATATAACGAAGACATTTTAGAAAGTAAATCGTTTATTATATTACGATGAATATTTTTCTATACTTAAATAAAATCCAATTAATGCATACAGGCACAATTAACTTGAGTTTTACACTTTTGCATACTATTGACCAAAAAAATGTCATGAGAAATTAATTCTTCCTAAAATTTTTGTTTCTGAAGGAAGGAGGTTCCCCGAGAATATGTACACCACAATATATTGAAGATATATAATTAGTTTATAAGATTATATTTGTCTATGACCATTAGAACAAAAATAGTATTAATCCAAACTTTACAAAAATATAATAAAATTATTAATAAATAATGCTATGATGATAATCCATCATGTTATGATTATTTCAAGCATTTTCTGATTCTTTGCGATTATATTTAACATTATACTCAGCTGTCTTAGCTTAACCTTAGACTGAAATAAATATAACTAGTTAAATATATTGTTAAATTCAAAGTTTATAACAATGAGCTCTTAACACCAGTGTTTATATGTACAACTGTTTAAATTTTGTAGCTTTATTTTTTATGTCTATCTTTTATATTTTTAAAAAATTAGTAAACTTTCATTTTTTTAAAGTTAAATTAGTAAGTTAAAGTATTTAAATATCGAATACTTTTCATTATTTGTATCAATTTTATTGACACATGATATGTACACAATATACGACGTTTCAATCAAAATACAAATAATTATTTTTAATCTTATTTATACCCAACAAATTTATTAGAACAATATATTTATTGTTTATACTTTAATATTAGTGAACAAATAGTAAAAAAATATTTAAAATGCCCATTATACATAAAGACTAGGTATATAAATTACGTAATATATATTTACATTTCATTGCTAAGTTGATTCACTAAGCATACTCACCTCCATTTTTTCTTTAATATTGAATCTATTTTAATTCTGATTTCAGGTTTTGAGCGGAGCGATGAATTTATTGATATTAAAAAATACATGAGTGTGTTTTTTTCTGTCTATCATCTTCTTTTGGAGTATTAAAAATGCTTCAATTTTCCACCTAAGAGGTGGTTTCTGTTAAAAAATAGAATTTAGTTGATAACTTTATGAATCAATAGCAAAATATTACCAGATATCCTCAAAATTCATTTAATTATTATATAAACATTTTCTACATATTATCATAAAATATTCTATGTTGACTCTTTTTTTTTTAGACACAAGGAATTTTTGATTTTTTTCAAAATTTTTTTTTACTTGATCAACAAACATAAAAATTTAACAAAACATTCTTTATGAATTGTTATTATAGGTAGATATCTAAAAATATTTTAAAAAAATATATAGAAACAATTTTTTCCATGTGTATTTTAAGTTTAATTGTTCAAAAAATTCGTCAAAATCATGAAAATTATTCAATTACTTTGTAGTTAAAATATTTTTATAGTTATAACTTGAAATTTAAATACAAAGTTATTTATTGAAAGTTAATACTGAAAATTAAAAAATCTAAAATAATATACTTACAGTTTTTACATACAAATTTAGAATTAAAATGTGGATTAAATTAAATATTTAGGGTAAATAAAATTTTTATGTTTGCATCTTTAGGAAGTGTCACTACTGGGTGGCTTCTTCCAACAACTCCTTCATGCCATTGTAAATCAGCCCATATTCTTATTGTGTCTTAGAGTACAGATTGTATATTTCTTATAAAAATAAAAAAAAATAAATAATGTTTGCATCTGTAGGAGACGCAATGGATAAAAAAATGTATATTATGGCTTATTGTATTGGATCATTTTAACTATACGGCGTTAATAATGAAGAGATGTCAAAATTTTGGCTTCATTAGAAATGTTAAAATGGTGTCTTATCAAATTATTTTACCTGTATAAATATTAAGTACTATTATGCATTATCGCCGCTTCATGTATAACTCTATGTAAATTCATATTATTATATTGTATTATATTTAAATAAATTAAATTTATAGATAAACCATATCATATCATAGATTTACATAAGACTGCATTAACGTTATTAAATTATCATTACTGACAACAGTGTAATAAATGATTGGTATTTGGGTAAAGAAAGATACACAAATAAATAAACCAAAATATATAATATACTTTGATACAGTAACGCCGATAGAGATACCTACTGTGAATAAGAACTTTTTTTTTAAATTAAATAGCAATTACAAAAAAATTTAGGGTTTGTGAAAAATACATTTGTCATACAGTTGATATGTTTGAAAAATAGATGAAACAGCAAATATGGAATAGCTTTAAATGTTACCTGGTAAATTATATTTTGTTAATTTATTTTAGTAAAATGTAGTATATATATTAGGCAAAAATAAGTTTAGTTTACAATTTTAAAAGAAGACTTATCTACAACTAAAAAACGATAGACTATTTTATTTTTTTTTTTTATTAGTTTAAGTATATAATTTTAAAATAAATAGTTACATTGAAAGTTATTTATTACATATAAATTCAATATTAATTATTTTTTAGTATTGAACATGTAGGCAATGAAATATGTAAAATGTATTTGACTCTATTAATTTACTATTTCGACAAACTATTATAATAATTATTAAGTTTGATTGGCTTGTTCTTTTTTTTGTTTATTTTCTTTACTCGTAATCTTTATGGTCTTAAGATCTCAATACTTAAGTCTTTGCTATATTTAATTAAATTTAAAGGTGCTTTGTAAATAATGAAGAAGTCTGTTTAGGTTACCCAATCTGTATGCATTTATTAAAATAATTAATTAATTAATAATTAAAATAACAAATTCTTCCATCCTTTACAATTTAAGAAGTTTAATTTTATCGTTATAAGATGCCTTTATTTATCCATCAATCAATTTATCAACGTGGTATTATTTAATTAGAGTATGATTATTGTTGCTTTTAAACAATTTGTCGTTAAATACTTATACACAGTTATATATTCATACGAATAATATGCACATAATTATATAAATATATTTAAAAATTCATGAGATAAAACTACAGGTATTTTTATTTATTTATTTGATTTTTGGGAAAAGTTTTTTTTTGCAACATTTGTTTTAACGCCCTAGCTTATATAACATTCACACGCATATCGCAACAAGATTCCTTCGGCGTCATTAGTTTTTTGTAGAAATATGTAATATAATATATACCAAAATTTAATTTGAAATTAGTAGTATGAATTACAGTATAAATAATATAGTAAATCAGAAGTTGGCAACCTGCGGCCCGTGTAGCAATTTTATACGGCCCATGATTGCAATCTATAATAAAATTGGTATAAAAATATGGAATATCACATTATGTTAGTTGGTAACCTAATATTGTTAATATATATCTACTACGTTAAATTAATATAGGTACCAAACAATAATGAAATTTAAATAAATTAAATTAAATTCTGTTTAAAATTTAAGCTAT